TAAGTATTCCGAAACACTTAATTGTTCTCATGAAGAATCTGTACGTGGACCGAGAGGCAGTTGTTCGAACAGAACATGGGACACTGAATGTTTTAGAATTAAGAGAGGTGTGTGTTAGGGTTGTATTGTTTTACCATACTTATTTAACCTGTATGCTGAGCAAATAAGCCGAGAAGCTGGGTTCCATGAAGAAAAACATGGCATCAGGATTGGAGAAAGACTCATTAACAATCTGTGATATGCAGATGATGCAATCTTGCTTGCTGAAAATGAAAAGGACTTAAAACATTTACTGAAGAAGATCAAAGAGCACAGTCTTCGGTATGGATTACATCTCAATGTTAAGAAAACAAAAATCCTCACCACTGGAACAATAAACAACATTATTTTCAAAGGAGAAAAGATTGAAGTTGTCAAGGACTTCATTCTTCTTGGATCAACTTTCATCATTCTCAGGAGCAGTAGTCAAGAAATCAAACAACATATTGTATTAGCCAAATTTTCTGCAAAAGACCTTTTTAAAGTGTTGAAGAACAAAGATGTCAGCTTAAGGGCCAAGGTGTCACTGACCCAAGCCATGGTGTTTTCAATAACCTCATATTCATGCGAAAGCTGGACAGTGAATAAGGAAGACTGTACGAAATTTGATGCCTTTGAGTTATGGTGTTGGAGGAGACTATTGAAAGTGCCATGGGCTGCCAAAAGAACCAATAGATCCATTTTAGAAGAAGTGCACCTACAGTGCTCCTTGGAGGCCAAGATGGCCAAACTTCCTCTCTCATACTTTGGACATATTGTCAGGAGGGACTAGTCGCTGGAGAAGGATGTCATGTTTGGTAAGGTGGAGGGGCAGAGAAAAAGAGGAAGACCCTCACCCAATGAGACTGATTGGCCAAGTGGCAGCATCGATGGACTCAAGAGTGGCAACAGTAGTGAGGTTGGCCCTGGATTGGGCAGTGTTTTGTTCTGCTGTGCCTAAGGTTGCTTTGGGTCAGTACCGACTCGATGGTACCTAACAACAACAACAACATTACCAATTTTGCTAACACAGTGAAAGTTGTGAAAGTTAGAACTTCAGAGGATTGATTTATTTATCTAAATATCATGAGTTTTCTGCATTTGACAGGGTGCAAAATCCATTTTTCTGCAGCTATATAGAAGTCCTGGTGTGGCGCTGTGGGTTAAGGTACTAGACTGCAAAGTAAGTTTGAAACACAAGGACGGTAGTTCAAGCTCACCAGCCGCTCTTTGTAAACCTTATATAGGGCCGCTAAGGGTCAGAAGCAATTCAATAGCACTTAAGAACAACGACATATAATGAAACAATTTGCTATTTCCAACTTTGACAGGTTTTCACCTTGTTGAGGTTCTGGCTTTCACAGGTTTTACTATACTTATAAAGTACTTACTATGTACCCTCTTCAGCCCTTAGACTACTCCTTAAAAATAACCCTATGAAATAGGTCTGTTACTACCTCCAATTTACAGATGAGGCAACTAAACCATAAGAGGTTATATAGCTTGTCCAAGGTCACATAGCTACTAAGTATTGGAGTGAGGAGTCAGACAGAAAATTAGGCCCCAGAAGCCATACCCTGAATCAGTATAATCCACTGTCATAGAGGCGATCCTGTATAGGATTTCAGGGGTTATAAATCTTTACAGGAACAAAAAGCCCCATCTTTCTCCCCCTGAGCAGCTGGTGGCTTTGAACTAACTGCTGACATTGTAGTTAGCAGGCCAGTAATTGTTCTACACTGCCATCAGGATTCCTTCTTAACTAGTAGATTATATGCATAACAAAATATATAAATATTGCTATTGTTGTTGGAACACAGCCTTCGGTATGGATTGCATCTCAATGTCAAGAAAACAAAAATCCTCACCACTGGACCAATAAACAACATTCTTATCAACGGAGAAAAGATTGA